TCATACCTGCACTTCAAGGTGAGGTTCCCCCGATCCCTGCTAGGCTGTGCTGTGTCCCCCGACCCCCTCCCCGCCTCGGTGCTCCCCACCTCAACTGGAAACGATGGCTTTATGCTTCTGTGTCCCCAGGAGACGGGGAGCAGCCCTGGCTCCCGTGTAAGGCCCGGTGCACACTGAGAGGAACCTCCCAGGGCCGGGCGCTCACCAACGTCGTGGATGAACTGCTCGATCTTGGCCTGCATGCCCCAGTAGCGGAACTCCACCTTGCACAGCTTATAGGCGCACATGAGGGGCCCCGTCTGGGCTGCTGTCCGCGCCCAGTCATCTGCCAGCGGCCCTCGGCCTGTCTTGACCGAGCGGTACAGCCGGGGGTCCTCTTCTGCTTTGTACTCGCCTGGGGCCACTGCATCCCGCACGATGTCGATGGTGTCTGAGAGGGTTCCAGCAAGCACTGAGCAACACCAACCCCGTCAAGCCTGTCCCCATCCCCCCTGCGACCCCTAGGGATTGGGAGGACAGCCCTTCACAGACAGGAAGCTGAGGCTGGGACAGAACTGGGACCTATCAGATGCCACCCGTTGAGGCAGTGGGGAGCCCGAGGGAGGTCTCACCCAGGATGCGCTGTCTCCTCTCTGCTCCGCTCAAATTGAAGACGTTCGGCTGCTGCCCTCCATCGGGTAGGTAATAAGTCTCTATTTCAATAGAGAATTTCTCTACAAAGGGGCAGGTGTACCTGGGCAGAGGGCAGGGGTGAGGGTCACGACAGTGCCCACGAGGGCTGTTCCCCTCACAGCCCCAGGCCCGAGCCCACCCCACCCACTCACCGGGTGCGGGTGTAGGGGTAAGCGTTCCAGGATTCCTCCTCTACCTGCAGTGCGGCCTTGGGCAGCAGTGCCCGGAACCAGCCTGGGATGTGGGAGCCCACATGGTACACCTTGTGTGTGTACTGCCCGCTGCCTCCGGGCCCATCTGTGTAGGGCCGGTTGGCCAGGATCTCCACGCCGCTGCCCTCGCCACTGGACTCCTCCCGGCTCTTTTTCTGCAGCCCAGGGCAGAACAGAACTGAGAGCTCAGCCCCACTCTGCTACTGCGACCCCCAGCTTGGCCTGGCCCCCCGCACGGCTCTGGAGTCCTAGTCCCAGCCTTTTCATTTCCCTGAAACCTGACCCTGGCCCTCATCAGCTCCTTGGGATCAGGATCACAGGGGCCGCCCAGTTCCCCATGGGGTTCTGCACTCAGTACAGTCATTGGAGCATTTACTGCTGGCTCCATTGTGGGCATTGTTTGTTTAGGATTATATTAATCGGGATCTATTGATAAACAGAACAAAGACCCCTGCCCTTGTGGAATTTATGTTCTAGTGAAGGGAGAGACATAACAGGAAAAAGCAAATTGTGTGGTATGTTAGAAAGCCATAAGTGCTACAGGAAGAAGGCACAGAGAGGTCAAGAGTTGGGAACAGCAATTTTGCTATGATGGTTGGGGAGGGCCTCGTTGAATCAGTGACATGACCGTGGCTTGAATGTGACTTGAAGAAGGGGAGGGAGGATGTGGGTTGGGGGGAGTATTCACAGCAAAGGGAGGCCAGTGCCAGCCCCTGAGGCAGCAGCATGCTGGATGTGCTCAAGGAACAGCAAGGAGGCCACAGTGGCTGGCACAGAATGGAAAGGGGCCTTCACCTTTTGGAGTACCTGACCCTGGTACCTTCCCTTTCTGGCACCCCAAATCCCAGGTCCTGTCACACCCCTCATAGCTTGAAAACACCAGATCCTGGTCTTTTATAGCTCTGGAGCCTGAACTTGGCCAACCTCAGCCCTCTGAGGCCAGATCCTCTCCCGCTTGCCTCCTCAGATCTGATCCTACAGTTCTGGGGAACGATCTGGAGCAGACCTCCCTGAGGCCCTGCCCCAACCCTCTCACCTCCCCGGGAGGCTGCCCTGGCTGGCTCTTCTCACAGCCCAAGCCTAGACCCCCTCCCGCATCTTCGGGTCCCTGCCTGTCCCATACCTGTCACAGTTTTGGGACCGGATCGTCATCCCATCTCTCTGATCTCGGGTTGCGGGGACCCTGCGCCCTCTCCACACCCCCTCCCAGCCTTCTCTACCACCCAGCCCCCTCCCCACTCCTGCCTCCTCCTCGGCTCCTTTCCCTGCCCCCATGGGATTACAGATTCTCAGGAGGATTAAAGGAGCTCATACGTGGGCTGAGCATCCAGCTCAGGCTGGGCACTCGGGGTGGGAGGCACCACTCAGCCCTTCTGCCCCTTTCCCCACAGCCCTCACCCCTTCCCCACCCTTGCATCCCAAGAGGGGCCTCTCTCTGGGCTCCGGAGCAGGACCGGCGGGGTCCACCCTCGTCCCCGGTGCGGCCTGCGCGCTCCCGGACACCCCCAGACGTCCCCCTCCCCGCGGCCCTCACCTGGATCATGTAGAGCTGGGCCACCTGGTACTCGTCCAGGCTCATGGGCAGCAGGATGTGGTACTCCTTGACGAGCATCCTGACGGCGCTCGGGCCGCGCGGCCTCCGCTCCGCCTGGCGCAGGGCACGGCGCGGCCGTCAGTGCGGGGCGGCGGCGCGCG